GGTGGGGACCTGGGGAGGGCAGAGAGCGCGCTCGAGGGGTCGCGACCGTCGTGCGCGTGCTCAAGGCCTCAAGGTGCAGGCGTATTGCGGCTGGTGGGGGGCCGCGCTGCGACGCAGCACGCGGCAGCGCCCGCAGCGGGGTCGTCGGCGCCGTGCTGCGGACGGCGTGCAAGCTGCGCCGCACCTTGATGACCTCGGGCTGGGTCACGTCTCCCCTGGGGACCGCGGCAGCCATGGCAGCGGCACCTGGAGCTTCGCACAGAGGCCTGCGGTCCGCTGTCGCAGGTCGAAATGGCAGCCGGCGGCGCTGCAGGCTCGGGCTGTGCTGGGTTCGGCCTTGCCGCAGCTTGGAGGGTGCTGAACGGCGTTTCTGCTCCAAATCGTGCTGGCTGATAATGCATGACTTTGTGCGCGGCCGGCAACGATCGCCTCCGCGTGAGGATTCTGATCGCGACGCTGTTTTGGTTGGCTGACGAGGCTGATCTGTGGAAGGGACAACCAAACAGCCCTTCTACGTGGGTGTGACGCTCAGCCACACCTTGCTTTCGACGTTCAACTGGTCCGCGTGCGCCCGCAGGCCACCGGTTGACAGTTGAAGTGCTTGCAGGCGGGATGACAACCCGCTCTCTTGGCAAATGCGGCGGCGCTGTGGCTGCCATGTCTGGGGCCTTACATGTGAAAAGTGTAGAGTGCACGAATTCCGCCCCACACATAGCTAGGTGGAGCGCATGCATGTTGCCGTGGCGAGTGAGCAGTCCAGGCGCGTGCATAGCGCGGAAATGAGCGGTGCATGTGCTCGAGGGTATAGCTCCTACAGGGTGCTTCTCCCCAGGCTAGGGCCTGCGCTGCGCCGGGAAGGCCAAGCCGGCCTGGGCCCAGCAGTGCATGGGCCCACCGAGCCCACCGGGTCGATCCTGCAAAGACCCCACAATAGCCAACGCCTGCCAGTTGGGTCCGGGGCGCTGCTCTGCAGGAGGCCTTTCGCGCCCCACTGGCCCTGTTCCTAGAATTTAGCTTGAGAACGGCGTAAATACTGCGGCCGCTGCACCAGGCGCGGCCTCATGGGTGCATTGGGCGGGGGAGGCCTGCAGCCGACGGCCCCATGTTGGTCGAACGATTGCAAAAGAAGGGCAGATGGTACAGACAATATGATAACTGGATGATTTGAGGGCGAATTGGCGGCGGCGGCGGCCCCTACATCCCCATGTGTTCCAAAAGTGCCCCGGGCTGCAACCCAAATCGCACGCCACCCCGCACCTGGCCGCTAATAGGCTTCCCCGCCAGGCTACAAATGCACACCGATTTTGAGATAAATATTTTATGAGATGTGGGATGGGCAGGGGGGCCTGGGCGCCAGCGGCAGAGCGCACCTCGAAATGGGAGGGATTGGGTGTGACCGTTCTGCGATTAGGCAGCTGCTAGTCATGCCGCCCAGGTGGTCCAATGTCAGGCCCGGCATCCGAAATGTGCAATACCTTCACTGCTCTTAATGGAATGCTTACCGATGACGCGGCTTCGGCTCGCCACGCAGGGCTCGCAGGAGAGCGCCTGATTGCGACGCCTCGGCCAGCTCGGGTGATGCATGGGGGAAAACAATGAAATTAATGAAAGCTTTGTTCAGCTTGATCCTCATAGGCAGCGCCTGCTCCCCAGCCAGCGGCGGCGGCAACGCCGCCGCGCCCCTGCCCAGCTGCACATTTGCAACTGGCGCCAACGGCGCGTGGCGCCTGCTGCAGCGCGACTGCGCCCCCGCCAACGCGCCGCTGCGCCCGATTGGGCCGAATCAAGGAGACGCCGCCCGCGTGGTCGTGGCGGGCGCGGCCGCAGCGGCGCCGGCGGCGCCCGACGGGACGGCGCTGGGGACCACTGTTTGGTTTGACGCCCCAGGCGCCGCCAACGGCGGCGGCGGCGGCCAGAGCCTCGTCCTATTTTCGGACACCGGTAAGAGCGCCCTTCACTCCGCTCTCCACGCCCCGTCCAGCCCCAATCAAGCGGGGGCCGCGGCGCGCGCGGGGCCGCTCCGATCTGTTTTCCCCACCCGCGCTCGGGCGCGAATAGCAACGGCGCGCCCGCGCTCGGCGGCGTGCCCGCGTCCCCGCCC